AGCAATGGCAGACACACTTTCCAAGCACCAGGACATGTACCTAAAGGTGCCGCAGTACTCCCAGCTCCCCCGGCCACTGAGCTCGGCCTTCTGCAGTGCTTTAGTCACGCATTACCAGCATGCAGGAAGGGCAGAGCAAGCTCCTCCTCCTCCCCCCCTGCACCTACTGCGGAAGCAACAGAAAGTCAGCGTGTGTGCATTGCCTCCATGTCTGCCTAGTAAGCATCCAAAAGGTGGAGTCTTTCTATCAAGCAGAAGGGAAACAGTCTCATGAGTGAGGGAACTAAGTGGGGAACTTATCTAAAACATGCAAAGATGAAGGCTCCCATTTACTATAGTGGTGGTGGGGAGGGGAACTAGCCTGAAATGCAGAGGGCACGAGGTACGTGTGAGGAGGAAGCAGCTCACTTTCTGCAGCCTGTAGTAGCCACAAGGCCATGCAGCCTCAGCAGAGCTCCTTCATTCTGGGTGCAGTTTAAGCTCTCCTTCTCCTCCACTTGGCCTGCAACCACTCATAAGGAGCTGGGTTGGGCAAGCAGAGACAGCACAGGGGACCCACCCGGTGAAGAGAGGCTCCCAGATGGTGGGACAGGATTTTCCACCCCCAGGGCTAGGGCAGGCAGTAGAAAGGTTGTTTCCACCTGCATTTCCTATGCGGCTTGCAGAGCTGCAGGCAACCTGAGAAAAAGGCAGCACAGGTGTGTCTGTTCCACCTCTAATTGGGCCACTTTCAGATGGTAGGGCAGGCCCCCCTGCTCCATTGATTTAATTTAATTTAAATTAAATTAAATTTACTTAGCGCCCTGCCATGAAAAAGTTCCTGGCTATGGCCCTTCCTATGTAGAGAACAGAAGGGTATTGTGGGCTGTGCATCTGTTCCAATCCTGCAGAGATTCTCACCTGAGAGACAATGACAGAACATCACTAGTAGTCACATACATCTCTCAACTCAACACAGTTCAACACATCATCAGTGACTTACAACTTCTACTGAATTTCACAAGCACTGGGGGGGCAAATCTTTTCTTGCCCACAGACAGCCCCCCAATCTTAAACAACTCCTCACCTGCAATACAACATCTAACTTGAACATGGACACTGGTACCAGAGCTTGCAATAACCCAGATGCCAACTTTGCTGCCACATACACGCAAACAATGCAATCACTGGCCCGAACATCAAATATGCCATCCCCAACTCATTCACTTGCTTATCTTCTAACACTGTTCTAACATTAAATGCCAACAATGTCTTCAATTTTCTACATTGCCAATGTCTTCAGTTTTCTAAATAGGGCAAACAGGTCAAACCCTACACCAAAGGATAACTGGACACAAATCTGACATTAAGAACCACAAGACTAAGAAACCTGTAAGAGAACATTTGTTCTGCCTGTTTGTTTTATGCTCTGCTGAAGCCTGTTCTCTGACACATCAAATCACTGGGGGGGGGGGGGGGGTACTGAATATGTACTGTTATGGAAACTTGTATGCCATTGTCCCATCATTTGTACTACATTTGTAGCACCCTGGCAAAGGAAGTTTTTTGGAGAGGTGGTCAGAAAAATTGGCTGAGAAGGAAAGCAACAGGAAAGACAGTCAGAGAGAACGAGTCAGGTATCACTTGGAATAGTGATGGACAAATTGAGAAGACGTTAAGTACTCCAACAATTATTCTTTAGTGAAAGATTGCAGATTGGAACCCTGACTACTAGTGTGAACTGATATTCTTTGATGCAGCTGCAACTAAAAGTTCAAACCAGGTCAATATTTTATTTGCTCTTAGTTCACTTGTAACAGTATGCTGTAAGAACTACTCTCTAATGTTTGCTGTTATTTAATAAATAACCATTAAATATACAATGTATTCCAAAACTTGAATACACCAATCAAGATCATCTGATAAGAACTATAGTGGTTCCATTTCAATAATTTTTGAAGTTATGCAAATACTCTTGGGGACTTCACATGAGGCACTATAAATGTTATTTACTAAATAATACTTTCCAGCTTATAATGTGCATCAAGCTTCATTAATATGGTAATATTAAAACACACACAAAAATAATATTTTATTTTTTTATTGAACAAGCAGAATGAACAAAGAGATCCTGGATACACAGACAGCCTTTACCACAATATATTCCAAGTAAGCAACTAATTTAGATCAATGTGTCAAACTGCCAGATAAATAAATTTGATATATTTGAAACCTACAAGCCATGTGGTAGCTGGGTCAATCCCTATATGTACCAGCAGATTATTGCTGATAGAATCAGCAACCCAAAATATAACAAGATCATCATAAGTGGCATGATTCAAAAAGGTCTAGCCGTAGATGATGTGAAAGACCTCAGCCTGAGACTTTGGAGAGTAGACAATACTGACTTTGATGGACCAAGGATCTGATTCAATATAAGGCTGTTTCATGTGTTCAAAAAAAGTACAGTGCTTGCCAATTCTTCATTCCACTTCTGGTTTAGTATAACTTTGCTAATCAACTGTGGTGGAAGTGGCCATCTGAAAACAATTCTAGATTGACCTTCAGATTAATGTTAGTAGATTTCACCCCATAATTGTTGACTTTCTCCTTAAATAGTACAGAAGAAATGTATTCTTTTTAAACTCATTTGCAGAAGTTATTTTATTCAAATGGAGGGGGGGACGACAATGTCTCTCAGGCCTAGACCAGGGTTCAAATTCCTGCTCAGCCAGCTCATTTAGCGTTTTAGCTAACCTGGCCTCCAAACCCTTAGCACCACTTCCTCTGATTTGATTATGCAATTTTATTCTTAAGACACCCCGTGACAGGTTGGGGAAGGTGAAAAAAACAACAGTCTGCTTCTTACCCCCAGGAAGGAGTCTGCCTGAAACTAATATGACTTTGATGCACATGTAACACATCAGAGTAGCAGTTTAGTGTTCCTGGCTTGTTTTTGCATTATACTCATTAAGCATAAGTACAACAATAAACACAAAATTCTATATAATTCATCAATTTATAAAGAGTTTAAATTAAATAAAGGGCCCCTAGTTTTGTATTTAGATTATATTTTAAAAAACCCAAACAGTTTATTTTTCTTAAGAATTTTTTAATGTATTTTATAGTCCACCTTTCTTATTTGGACTCAAGGCAGATTACACAGAGTCAACACAATTGACAGGGTGGGCTATTCAATAAATAATACAATATTATTAGGGTTGGACCACTGGAAATCTAAAACAGAACTGAACGATCTTTCAACAGCAAAGTGTGGGAGAACATATTTCCCTAATGAGTGGTTGTTCATATCTATCACCAAATGTATTGGGGCAAATCACTCACGTGATTTTGGTGTTCTGGTTTATTTCAGAAACAGCTTTTCCTTCTTCAACAGCAATCTACCACATTACATTTGTTTAATAACCCAGTAATACAACAATAATATACGAATCCAACTACTGCTGTATCATCAACAGAGGAAGGAGGCTCATGTTTAGCAGTATAGTTTATTCACTTGTCTCCACAACATTCTTCAAGTATTCTGGAACAGACCAGACAGTCTTCAAGATGTTAAGCTGATTAACAATACCTAATATTTGGGATTCAGGAAAAAAGCTAGGTAAAGTGCTCAAACAAAGTACGGGAGCAACTTCCCTCAACCAACAAGCTTCAATCATGTTCTTATTCAAAAGTTATCAACAGAACATTGTAAGTGGTCAATAACCAATATTTCCGACCTATTAAGAAGAAACTCATTTGGGATAAGGGTGATCAGGCATACAGGAAGGAAAAAAGTACATTCAACTCAATCTTGCCTCAGCAACCCCTTCTCTCTCAGGCCGATCTGGTACTGCTCATATGCTGGTCAAAACAATATTGAAAACCTATCCCTTCAAATTACATTTCTTATTGTAGGTGGCATTCCCTTTTTGGGGTGTCCTCAGGCACAGCTAGTCCTATTTCGGGTTACACAAAATTACTCAAGTCCAAATTTACATAATGTTACAGGCAAAACCATCTACTTCACTACCCTCGAGCAGTTCCAAATTGCAAATACCTAACTAAAGGATCGACGTGGATCTTGTGTATCAACACAGAACTTCAGACACTGAATTTACTTAGGGCCGCCTATCAACAATCTCCTACAAATCCCAACTACCTTTATCCGTCAGCGCCAACTTGGCCAGTATCACCCCACTGACTTGCACTATGGCCACGGAACTGCCCCTAACATTCCTTGATCCTATCAGCGCTAACCCTTCCCCAAGAGCCAGTACTTTCGGTCGTCTCCATCTCGTCTATCTCAGACCCCACTACCCTGATCGTGTATTTAATACAATAACACGCCCTCCCCCATCAACGCTATCCCCAAATGGCCTTCCCCTTTCCACCTCTCATCGCCATGGTGCTGCCCTACTGACGTTTCAGCCAGTAACGAATCCCGCCGCCAATTTCCAGAGTCGCCATCCCAGGCATCCCTCTCCCACCACCCCACCCCCCGCTCCACATTCTCCTGGCCGCCGCCAACGGTACACAACCCCGGGGGAAAGTGTTGTTGTCCCTTTTGCTCAGCGCCGCCGCCCGGCCAAGAACGAGCAGGGAAAGCAGTGCTGGAGGAAAGGCAGGCCCCGTGTGGGGGCGGGCGCACAGCGGCGGGCTCCGGGCCCAGAAAAGGCACTGACGGGGCCGGAGAGAAGAGGCCGCCCTGTGGGGCCGCCGCCCTTCCATTGTCACCCGGCCCCGCAGGGAGGGAAAGGGAGGGCAGGGCCGGGAAGGGGGAAAGGGCCGCCACCCGGGAGGAGCCGCCTCCTCGGGCGAGCAGCGCCCGCCCGCCAGTCCGCTCGCTCCCTCCCTCCCTCCAGCGCTAGCTCTGGCTCCCGCCCGCTGGCCCGGCCCGAGTGTGCGAGCGAGCGAGCGAGTGAACGAGCGGGGCCCGCTGCCCCCGCCCCTCGTGCCTCCATCTTGGATCTCAGCCTCAGAGCCCCCCTCCTTCCGCCCGCCCGCGCTGACTCGCCTACCTCCGCTGGGCCAGCGCCCCCGGGAATCCTACGGTGCCACGGGAGAAGGGTCTAGGCGGGCCGGGGCCAAGCCGGGCCGGAACGAACAGGCGGCTGTGCCGGGGGCCGCACCTCAGTAGAGCCGCAATCCTAAACCGCCATCTGGCGGCATTTCCTACCCGCCAATGGCGCAGCCGCCGCCACCGCCAGCCAGACTCCGCGCGCCTCCTGCCGGCCGCGTCCGCACACTACCAGAGGTAGCCCCGCCCGTCAGCAAGGGCGCCCAAAACAGCTTTCGCGCGAAAACGAGCGCGCAAGCGCGCTACTTTTCTGGCCCCGTGCACTCACCGTACACCTTCGGTCTGCGCGCGCAGTGACTCGACCTCTAGGCGGAAGTGGTCTACGTGACACTTCCGTTCTTTTAAGACGTTGCGTAGGTGTTTCCTTCGCCATTTTTTCGCGCGCTCTCGAGTAAGGTGACGTACGTCTTCGGTCTTTCCCTTATTTCCTGGTGCGCGAGCCTTTTAGTGGCTCTTGATCTCAACAGCAGAGGGAGCTGACGGCTTGATGGCAGCGGAATATGTGTTTTACTTTCTAAGCAAGTGTGCACACTTTGCTTAATACCTACGGAGATGGGAAAGCTCACCTTTTCAAACGCTCTTTACGAATCTGGAAACTCACAGAACGTTCAAACACAAGAATAAATCGTCCACTTTAGCGGACCCCCCCCAAAAAATGGCATTTCATATTTTTAAAAAATGCACGTTGAATATTAAGACCCTCTATTTATTCTATGATTATAAGATCTTTCATAAATTCCCATCATTTTTTTAAGCGTGGTTTCATAGAAAACGCACTCAGATGACTGAGCTAATGAAACATAATTTTTAAAAAATGGGATATCCGTCTCAGAAGACTAGGAAATGTTTAAGAATTCTGCAGATGCTTAATGTTTTGATCTATCAAACGAAAGATTTTGTTTTTTGGAGTTGCCGAATTCCGACGTTTCAGGTATTTAAAACAACACAGGTTAACCTGAATAGCCCTCAATTTACACAGCATCTGTTATTGTTGCAATACACTGAAGTTATGATGTGTCTGCATACTACATGAAGAAGAAGATAAGAGATTGGATTTATACCCCGCTCTTCATTACCCAAAGGTGTCTCAGAGCGGCTTACAAGCTCCTCTCCCTTCCCCTCCCCACAACAGACACCCTGTGAGGTAGGTGGGGCTGAGAGAGCTCTGACAGAAACTGCTCTTTTTCAAGAACTATGGCTTGCCCAAGGTCATCCAGGAGGTGCAAGTGGAGGAGTGGGGAATCAAACCTGGTTCTCCCAGATTAGAGTCTGCGCACTTAACCACTACACCAAACTGGCTCTCAATATAAGCAGGTGATTTTGTCTTTGGCGCATGGGTGTGGAGGAAGTAGTTGTGAATTTCCTGCATTGTGCAGGGGGTTGGACTAGATGACCCTGGAGGTCCCTTCCAACTCTATGATTCTATTATTCTAGCCACTCCTGATTACCCCCTCCCATCTAGCTACACAACTGAACATAGGTTCTCATTATTAACCAATTACCATATTCTTGAACCATCCTTGAAAGAGATAAAGATAGTGTCTCAGCACGAAGGCCCAATTAGAGACACCTGTGAGCCAGAGCAGGCTTGCTAATAATCACATTGACCCTTAAAGGGAATCAGGGTGCATTGCCTCATATTTTCTCTTTGGAAGATCAGGGATACTCCGTAAAGCTTCTGTGCTTCCAATTCAAATGATAATATTTTACATTTAACCCAAGAATTATATAGTCATACTCTGTGGAAGACAAACAACCTATCCTTTGCTTTCTGTTGGCCCAGGAGATCAGTCCACCTCCATATAGGAACAAGTATCCACTTGTGGATTTATAGTCATAGCTGTCTCCTGCCCAATATTTATCCATGTAACCAACTAAGGCTGTGGTCAGACAGCATGATTATTGCACGGTTGACATGCATCAAATCTTACCTGGGATTAAATATTCCACAGTGACTTGATCAGACAGCTCCCTGTGAGGCACGCTCACCCTGCGGTCTACCCTCCAGACTCTTGCCAGTGCAAGAGGTCTTTTAAAAAAAAATCTTCACTTGCACATGCGCATACAGGGCCGGCTCACCCACTAGGCGAACTAGGCATTCGCCTAGAGCGCTGGGCCCTGGATGGGGCGCCAAACTGTGCCTCTCCCCCGCCAAAAGCCCGCGCGCCAACTGGGCAACCAAACGCGCCCCTTGCAACAGAGATGCGGCGCCAGCAGAGAATACAGGCTGTAGCAGCCCCATCGGGAGACAGAGCGAAAAAGAAACCTCTCTCTCTCCCTCCTCCAAGGCAGCGCTGACGAGGCACAAATGCTCCCCCGCCTGAGAAGCCCAATGCCACTGCCCTTTAGCTCGCCCCAGCCGAGCAGCCCCTCTCCATGTGTCTCCGCCGGCTAAGCTGCTCCCTCGGCAGCCCATCAGGCAAGTGCTTCTTTGGCTTCCCTGCAAACACATGGGCTGCCCAGCAAAGTTTGGGGGCTGCAGCTGCGACGCACACCAGGGACCATCACCGCGCTGCAACTGGACGGCCATCCACAGTCTCTGATGGCCCCGGGCAGCTCCCCCCTCCCCATTTAGTCCCTGCCATGGATTTAATTGGTATTCTACAGCACTTACTTGCTGCCTCTGCATTTTATAGAGGTGTCTCCAAATTGCTTACTCATCATGGGAAGGGGATCCCTCTTCTGAGGAGGTGAGCAGCTTGGGATGGGCTACACCTCTATAAAATGCAGAGCCCATCCCAAGCTGCTCACCTCCTCAGAAGAGGGATCCCCTTCCCATGATGAGTAAGCAATTTGGCTACTGCACAAATTAGTTTCATCTGGAGCCATTCTTCCTGAGCTAGGACAAAAATCTGTGAGCCGGAGGATAAAGAACTGTGAGCTACCTGACACTAACTCAGCTTAAAGGGAACACTGAACATGATTTGGGGATATGTGCTCTGATTAGCAGCAAACCATTCTGCTTTGGTTTCCAAGCATGAAAACTTAGGAACTGCAGTACCTTTAGTGGGATGCTTCCTTTGGGCTGCAGCATTCCTTTTATCAGCCAGATGGTAGAAGGAAAAGGATGAGCTTGGCCAATCAGAAGTGCATCGCTCTAATGTGGTCTTCCTTTTATTTTGGCAGCAGGAACAAGCCCAATCAGGAGTGTGGGCGTCCATGCCACAACTCCAACAGAGGAGGAAGAACATGGTAAGTAGACATTCATCCATTGATCAGCCATGACTGTATGAACATGTTGTTTCAGGTTTGCGAGGACCACAAACCATGGAAATAATTACACAGAGTAAAGGTTAAACAGGAAAGAGAGAGAAGCTAACAGTAAAATATCCATGGCATGACATCCCCTCTATTGCATGCTGCTTGGGTTACTGGCCAGTGTTACTGTTGTCGCAGCACTGCTTATGCATTAGCACTGAAGTGATGAGATGCTTATGAAAAATTTAAAAGTTATTCTGTTATGCATTGTGGAAAAGTCATCACAGGAAGAAGTCTCTTTGCCATCAGTTCCCGTTGAACCACAGGGAGAAGAGTCCAATGCAGAGTCAACTGACAATGGAGAAATCTGGACCTTGGGAACCCTTTATGCCAAAAGGGTGCTTCACTCTTTAAATGATGTAGTCTGTCCAGAATCCCTGGTGGCAGGGGTCATTTTGAGGTGGAACAAGCCGGAACAGCATTCCGGGAGTAACAAGCCCAGGAGCATAGGTGTAGACTACGGGGCAGTGAAGACAGAGAGGGAAATAGACAAGTGTGCAGGCTCGCCTATTGACAAGTTGGAGCAAAAGCTCCTCCCCTCCACCGCAGAGGTGGCTGGGAGAAAAGAGTGCAAGCGCAGGAAAAGAGACAGTGGGACAGCATGCAGCCATCTAGCTCGTGACACAATGAGCAAAGAAGAGCGAAGGAGGGATGGACAGACTGACCTAAAGTGGGATCTCCAACGGACCCAGCTGCAGCAGCAGCAGCAGAAGGAGGTTAGCCAGGGCTCCAGAAAGGTGGCAGAGGCACACGTGCAAGCCCCTTCCCCTTCCCTTGACCAGGCGGCTGGGCCAGGAGGCTGCTGGTGGTTGGGGGGGCAGGCAAGCTGCACAGAGGAGAGAGAGAGCCACCAGGTCTGGTGTGGGTGGCCACACAGACCGAGCCGGGTTGGTGCCTGGCGAGGGGGCTTGGCAGCCTCTCACCCACAGCCCCCTGGTGCCCAATTGCCAGCAACCGGCCAGGCCTACTGCTGAAGCAGTGAGCCAAAGCCAGATCAGATGGATGCTGCTGTTGCTTGCCACCCTTCCTCTCCCTCCCTCCCCCCTCCCTCCCTTCCCCTGTCTGGCTCCATCACTGCCTCACCTACTGGTCCCTGGAGGCAAGGTAAGCTGGCAGTGCTGAACAAGCTGTCTTGCTCCACCTGGCCACAGCTGTCCCTGAGTGAGCGAGTGAGTGGTCGGTTCCGGAGCTGTCAGGGGCTGTGAGCATCTGGCTAGGGAGGTCGGGGTAGTGGGGTGGGGTGGGCTTGTGGGGTGGGGGTTTTCCCCAGGCCACGATCTGGAGCTGTCAGGGTGGCTGTGGGCCCCTCTCTGGGAAGGTTGGAGGTAGGGATGTGTGACAGAGCTGGGCGAGTAAGCTGTCCCCTAAAAGGAGCTGCGGTGGCTCAAGTGGTTAAGACGCTGAACTGCAGGCTGTTGAAGGTCGGTAGTTCAGCAGTTTGAGACCCAGGTGCCGCATGATGGTGTGAGCTCCCATCTCTAGTTCCAGCTCCTGCCAACCTAGCAGTTCAAAAGCAAGAAATTGCAAGTAGATAAATAGGTACCACTTCGGTGGGAAGGTAACAGTGTTCCGTGCGCCTTGGTGTTTAGTCATGCCAGCCACATGACCACGGAAACGTCTTCGGACAGCGCTGGCTCTTTGGCTTTGAAAAGGAGATGAGCACCGCAACCCTAGAGTCGGATTCGACTGGCTTTCGAGCAAGGGAACCTTTACCTTTAAAAGGGGAAGCTTTGCCAGCCTAAGGATTCTGTTGCATGCCCCCTCCGTCTGCTCCCTTCAGGAGTTTCAGAATCCCCTTACCCTCCTCTGTGGGACAGACTGGAAAAGAGAGT